GGCATCAGCCAACCATTCGTTAAGCTTTTTCACGGCCTGATGAAACAAGCGACGAGCTATGCAGTACAGCTCGTGAAATTTTCGGCTGAAGCTTTCACCATAGTGAATTTGGATATTCCTTTGTGAATGTCTAAAACATAAATTGCTAATACTGATAGGCTTAAGCTTATATTATTGATGAAGAGAGGAAATGTTATATGTCGCAACACAAGTAAATTTCAAATATTTCGCATAAGAGAGAGATAAAGCGGACAACTTAAGTATGAATTTTTTCATCTTTCCAAATCGGCTTTTTTTTCTCTTCGTTTCTTTTTCGCGAACAAGGACTTCAAGGACACATAAATCAATTGAAATGTATTGCATTTTTTAATCAATAACTTTAATTTGGCAAATCAAATATGGATATAAAAAATCACCTAACTTGGTTTTTTAATCCTTTTAATATTCAGTTTTGATTTGTTAAATTTATTGATTAAAATGTATCCCATTTCCATTAGTTTATAGGAGGTCTTTTTTGTATCCAGTTTTTTTGTTAATCTTTTGAGCCTATATCTTTTAATTTTAAATTTAATTTAATCAATAATTTAATCAACACATATTCTTTTGTTATCGGAATTTAATCAATTGCTAAATATTTTATTTCTTACATAATTGAATGGTTTATAATTTCGTAGATTTGATAAGTTGAACCTTTCGTCTGACAATAATGTGCATCTTGTTTTATTTTTGGATAGAATAGCAATCATCTTACAATCAGTATAGATATTTAAATTACAATGAATGAATCATTAGTCAGTAACACAAAATGGACATATGTATTATCAAGCATATTTTTCTAAAAATACATAACGACCGACATAGCTGTCGGTCTTGCTCATTAAAATTTGGTTCATGGAAACGTGGTTCATTATATCTTAATTCAACAAATATCCTCATTTGTATCGTTTTAAAATGCACATAATTTAAAATGTAATTCAACATTCTCGCCAACTGCGTTCTCATTTTATTGACCCCGGTGCATATATGGTACCTACACAAAATCGCCAGGATTTCTGTTTACTTTGAAAATGGATGACTGACGTTTCGATCCTCTTGATATCACATCTGCGTGCAGATATATTACGAAGTTATCAGTTGCCTGTAGAATTCACCGCGATCTCGCACATTTGTGGCGCCATTTCCGGCATAGGAAACAAAACGCAGACCGGATGCCACATCGACCGGCAAAACGACGCGATTCACTCGCAACTTTCGCAATAAATCAACAACAGAAATGCGTAAACAATTTCTATCATCTACCCGCCGGGACGAGTGGAGAAATCAATCACATGATGCGTGATGGCAGCACGATTTAATTATTCAGCCTAGTCGCCGATCGATTGTGTGAAAGATCGCAATGGTTCGAACACGTATATAGCGATTATGCAAACTAAATATGTCAAGAATATGAATCATGACTATGAATAAGTTTCGATTTTTTGCTTACTTACTTATATATTCTGAAAAATAAATATATGCATTCAGCAAATCATGCAGTATATAATTTTCTGTGTTGATATGCCATAAACATCAACATAGAGTGGATTTAACATAATGATTCAAAACCCATAATATTAAATCTCCATACAGCATTATAGATCATTCTAGCAATATTGCAGTAACATTGCAGCGTTCCAGGAATATTGTAGTAACATTGAAAATTACAATAATGTTACTGTAAGCTTTTGTGCTGTACAGGGTATTTATTTATTATATATAATTCTCACTGTATTGTACAATATGTGGATTTAAGACCATGATTTAAAACTCATTTTGTTAAATCAACATCAACACAAAGAGAATATATTTAACACCCATGTTAAATATATTCATATAGAGTATATTCATATAAAGTACAAATTATTCCAGCAATATTACAACAACATTACAGCGTTCTAGTAATATTGCAGAAACATTGCAACAATATAAGTTCTATGCTGTATAAGACGTACACTCATATTTTTAACATATAATCTGTTATATAACTTTGAGTGACCTGCGCTATTTGAATATTCTCAGATTTATGTATATCTCCAAATTATCAATCTCCATTTTATTATATTTTATATTTTCCTAAAAAAATTCTGTAATGAAAATAGAAAATATAATAAATAAGAGAGAAAGAAAAGAAAATAAAAAGATACTTCGAAACAGGATCGCTGGAATGTCGAAGGATGTTGAAAATCCAATGCTGTTAATTAAAAAATTTTTGACACAATGATTTTCGATACAATGATTGGATATAACATAAGAATTTAGGAAATAAATATAGTGATCTCCCGCCGAGAGATATGTATTTACAGTCAGCGTTACAGCGTTCAAAATGACGAGGACGACACCATTGACCTTGCAAAGTAATCGGTCGAATATATGTACATGTAAAAGCGCCGTGTGTGATTCTGCATTTTAAATCATGTCCCCGGCTTTTCAACGGCAGCTGCCCCGATCTAACTGCCAATAGCATGGACGTTATGAATCCAGTCAATTTGCCGCATTTAGCCTTTAAATATAGGTTGATTCCACTTGTTATCCCCGATTTCACGATACGAAGCACGGTTTTCCATTGCTGTGAGCGTTTTTATGCAGACCTATCGAAAAAGCGCGGTGGCAATAACAATCGTGAGTATTAATAATCATCATTCATAATAATCATTCATCCCGTTGATTATTAGCGATATATGACAACAAAGTCGATTTTATATTTATTGCGATGTGTAATTTCCAAAGCGATATTTAATTAACAACATTTTTTTATAATATCAACAATATATGTAATATTTCGATTTCCAAAACTGTCATTTAAAGAGGCGTGGATTTCACAAATGATACTAAAATAATAAATTTAAAATTTCTTATCTTCTTAATCTTTAAAATTTCTATTGAATTAGTTGCGAGGCTATCTTCGTACGAAACAAATTAGAAAGCTATTATTTCTATCTTTGCTCTCTTCTCTTCTCTTTTTCTGCGTATTTTCACCGTGGAATCGATACCGAATTTATTATCACCGTGACATACATATTCATCGTGACAGGCGTTATTCAGGATATAGGAACTAAATCTACTGGAAGTGAAATCATAATTCTCACGTTGCATTCACGGCGGACTTTCTTGATTGATGCTGATGAATTTTTATGCGCCTCATCCATTGATTCGCTGCGCGATAAAACGAAAAGCAACGTCTAAAGAGACAAAACGAGAGTGGAAAAAGAGCATAGCTGATAAAGGTTCAGCAATATGCAAACGCGGACAAGTTCTAGGAGCATTGGCCATGCAAATTACAACGTTGAATACATGGTGCATTTTTTACTAGCGCTATATTATCATTTCGAATGAAATAGGAATTTGCACACAATTATTATACAATATTTTAAAAGTTCGCAATATTTGCTCTAATCCACTTTGGATTCGAATTTAATAAAAATGATAGATTTAATATACAATCCGATAATATGAGATATATTTAATTTCTCGCATATAAAATTCCATAAAAAATTCTTTAGAATATCTCGTTACTTTAAAAGACAATACAAAAAATTAACCCTTCTGCAATCATATTTTGGCTCCCTTCATCTGCACTTCTTTTTTAACAGCTTAAGTTTTTTTTTCAATGTCCTAGACTTTCAAAAAATGTGCAAAAATTCAGAGTTACAGAGTAAATTACTTTTTAATATCTCTATTACCAAATAAAGATTCGGCAAGAATTTTAAGAAAGGGAACCGAATTCCTTCCTTTATTTCGGAGAAAGAGAATAAAATTTTTTTTGTGTAAAAAACTTAGATTGCAAACAAAAATTAAGTTCCCCAGAAAAAAGAAAAAACTATTTTTCAATTTTCCAAAACAGAAAATTATTGATTAATCAAATATCGTGCAAGGAATTTTCTTAATTTTGTCAAATGTTATTTTTATCATTTTTGTTTCTTTAAAAAATTTTTTTGGAGTTATAATGACACTTTCTTAAAAAAGCCATCTTCTTTGAATGTCATAATTTTAATAAATTTTTTAAAACGAAGTTTAACTTAGGTACTTTTGATAATTTACAGAATAATATAATATTACTTATAACTTATTTATGATAATAACAAGAAAAATCATGTTTTTTTTTTCGAGTTATGTTATTTTTTGAAATAAGAGAGTATATTACTTTCCAGTGTGAATTAAACTTGACAGAAAGCGTCGACAAAGAAAAACGGTACGTGCATAGAATTAGAAAACAAATATTTTCTTCCTGGGTAAAAGTCGTATCAATTTGCATTTCTAATTAGCAATTAGCATAAAGCTAATTTCTTATTACTTGGCACGAGAAGAGCAGCACACGGCGTTCAATACAGCATTCATATACAGCAAGGCGTTCTCCTGTAATCTCACGTATTTCAGTTAAACGAAACTACAAAGTGGACAATGTTCGTCGAACTATTTAACGTATCGTACTTGCATTGTTATATTCCAGCGCGTTATTGGCGAGTTAGATCGGCTTTAAACGAGTATTTCATAAAAAATAAATAAAATATTTTTACGATCGAACAGGGGTTGTTGTACATTTTATAGAAACAAATCTCTCAAAGGATAAATGAAAAATATTGCAAAAATATGAATCGTTGAATTGTTGCCATACGTATGCAAACGCAATGAATTAAAATACTCTTTTGTATCCTAGTTTGGCTATAAAAAGTACAACAATTGGTTTTACGCGAGATTTGCGCGCTTAGATACACTCGTATCCTTAACCCAATTTACTCTTGTCATCTCTTTTATTTATTTTAATTCGCATTACTTTTAATTAAAAGAATAAAAAAAAAAAAAAATTAATACAAAGAGAATCGAAAATATTATAGTCATGTTTTTGAGCATTTTTTCCATAAAAAAAAATTTTCTCATAGAAATTTGTCTCTATAAAGAAAACAAGGAAACTCCTGTAAAAGAATTCTAATGAAGAATAAATATGTTTCCATTAGATTATTTACCCTCGTAAACCCAGTCCGGTACTCCATTGTAAATAGTTCCAAACACTCCCGTGTTAGTTATTTGATAATCATTAGCCATCTCTGCCTCCGGTCTGTAGTAGATATTATTTTGGTGAACGTAGATCAGGGCGTTACCTCGGGGTGCCCAAGTCGCGAGTTGCAACGGTGTCGATTCATTCGCGGCCAATATCGTCCCCGTTCTGTAAATATAACAATAATGTAATGTTATATACGTTTTGTAATACAGTGAAAAATTGTAGTAAGTATTTCTCGCTTGCGTGTTCTGTCCAAGATGGATCAGTTTTCACGTTTTTCGAAAAAAACCTGACAACTTTCCCTCTTTTTTGTATTTTCGATTTCATGTTTTCCGCTGTAAATAAAAAGTTCATCGGTCAATATTTCTCGAAGGATATTATGCTTCAAAGACAAATGGTCAACAAAAATGTGATGAATGCAAGAGTATTTTTTATTACTTTAGACAACTGAATTACAAAAAAAATAGTAGAATCCAGAAAAGTATGCATACATAAACACATTATTGTTTTAAATTAAGAAGTAAAAATACTGTGAAATGATGTTAATCTTTAACTGAGTGTGCTGCGACACTGAATGCGCAAAATTGGTTTTTCTGAAAAATCATTGATAATGCGGGTCGTTTTTTTTACCTTTGATATTTCTCATTTAACGTCTCAATCATAAAATAACGCGATTGTCATATCTTTTCTATTAAGTTTACTGGTCTTTTATTCACTCTAAAATCCGTAAAACACGTTTTGTGGAACGGAATGCTGCGCGCGCCTTAAAACGCAAGTAAAATCTTGCTTATAAAAATAATCGTAATAATGTGAGATGTTGAACCGTTACCTACATTTTAATTTATTTTTATTCGTATTAGTAATTAATCTCTTTAGGTTAAAATTAAGTTATGTTATAAATAAACAGCTCAGACAAATTTGCACTATTATTTTCTTATGATTGTAAATTAATATCTTTATTTTTTAATACTGTTATTATTTTCTTATGTTTAATTGCAAATTATGTTCTTTATTTTTTAGCAAATCTCTTAATTTTTATTTTATTTTTAATTTTCTAATTCCGAAAAAAATATTTCATGTATAATTATCTATATATAATTATATAAAATTATATAAAA